ATCCTCTCACTGCCCCTGTACCTCTGGCTTGTGCCCCAGTTCTGTATGTCTGAATAAACAAATAAATATTTTTTAAAAATGTGATTTGGGGGTACAAGAGCAGCTAAAAGGTCATCCATTTGCTTGCCCTTACATTGTCTAAACTGATCATTCCAAGAAAAATATCAAAGTAAATGTTGGCATAACCTCTAGGGTTGAGATTCTACTTTGATTATTTAGAATTTGAGTTTTTATTATTTGGTCTAATTTCATAACCTTCAGAAAAAAAGTAATGAGATAAGAAGTATACCCCCTCTTTTTTTTTGCTAAGCAAATACTTGGAGATTGTTTTGGCCCAGTATTTCTCAATTCATTGCTCAGTTATTGATAAAATCTGTTTGTTTTCCCTAAATTATGGCCACCTTCTTAAGGAAGAATAGGAGGTAGAAGGCAAGAGTTAGTCTAAGTGTGATTTAAGAAACAAGCATAAATTTTCATTTAAAATATTTACAAGTTAGTTTACATTATTTAGATATAAATGTTTTCTTTCTCCTTCAACCCCAAACTAATTTAATAGAAGGCATCTTGCTCTAATTTCAATAGAAGAGATAAGCACTGGATGAAAACTTGCCTGCCTTATAACAACTTCAAGGGCCTGCCTGGTAGCATCAAGTCTCAGTACTATGAAGCTGTCTCCCACCCAGGAAGCTGACCCACAGGGTGCTAGAGACCTCTTGTGTCCCTGCTGCTCCCCTCAGCAGTGTATTTCAGTCAATCTGCCTGTTCTGCTCCCCACTCTGTCTCCAGTGAATCCTCTCACCACCCCCACATACACCTCTGGCCACATTCAGCTCTTGTATGCATAAATTATTTTTTAAAGACTTCAAGCAATGTAAGAACTTTTAAAAATAAAGCCACAACAGTCTTTTAGGGTGATTCCCAAGAAAGCACAGAACTGATATTGAGATGTCAAGATGGAGACTTTCAAAATAAAGACTCTTTTATCTAGTTACAAAAGCGATCTCTCTGTTTCTTTTGGGTTAAAAGTGTCTTAATTATGAGGAGGTTCCTGACATATCTTATGCTAATCTGAGTCTTCATGGTATAGCTAGAAATGTTTGGGAACATCTTTTGACAAATGAAAAAGTAAACAAACAATGCAGATTGGTAACTCACTTCTACACCTGGAAGATTAGTGCTTTGCCACTTGAGATTTTATGTGGATTTTGATAGTTAGCAAAGCTGAAGGTAATAGAAAAACTTCTGGGAAGAAAACTCCCTTTGAGAATTATTCTTGCCCAAAGATTCTTTGTAAGAACCCTTGAGCACTTTGAAGAAGCACCCCCCCATAAATAAGCAGAAATGCATGCCATTATTGGCATCTAATCATGAATGCACGCTGTAATTTGCATTCACTGATATTTACTTCATTAGATCCACAAATTCCAAAAGAGGTGGTGGTTCAGAAATCGTCATCTCCCCAAACTCATTAAGCTGATAAATAACTGCCAGTCTCTAAAAAGGGGTGCAAATAGTGTTCCTATATATATGTATATGTGTATATAGATATATAATTTGTTCTTAAGATTGTTCATCTAACACTTCTTCCATTTCTGCTTGCTACTTGTTCTTTTCCTGAATGGTTGTGAATCACAAGAGTAAGAATATGACTGTTTACACATTCAAATGCTATTTAACGTTAGTTTTCTTGAAGGATGGCAGTATCTTACTAGGTAATATCAGAAGAAAGTGAAATTCATTGAAACTTTCATTGCTGCCAGAGCTGTCCACCTTGTTAACTTTATTGGGTGAATATGATAAAACCATGAATTATTGGGGGGGGGATTTCCCTACTTTCACTTCCCTCATATATATTTTTTGACAGGTATTCCACAATACTGATAACTCCCCTCTCTCATATTTATTGTAACTTCTCAGTCTTTCTGTGTTTTAGTATGCCCATTATTACTGTGATTCTTTTTAAAGATTTATTTATTTATGCATACAAGAGCTAGGGTGTAGGCCTTAGGTGCAGGGGGTGAGAGGTTTCATCAGAGACAAAGTGGGGAACAGAACAGGCAGATTGACTGAAATACACTGCTGAAGGGAGTAGCAGGCGAGACTGGCGAGGTCTGCTGCACCATGTGGGTCAGCCCCTGGCGGGATGGAACTCATGCTGCAGTGGCTGCAGATAGCTTTATTGTGTTATGCTTTAACCCGTTAAGCCACCAGGGAGGGCCCTACTATGATTTTTTTTTAATGCATCCTATGCAATAAGAACATTTTTGGATGGTAGAAAGCCTCTCCCTCCCTCCAATTTGTTTTTCTTAAACTTTCAACGGATCCCAAAATCTCCCGTGCCTGACTTAGTTTGAATTTCGTTTCAGCTGACCCATGATCACAGTGAGAAGGCCTCGCGTGCCCCAGTTTCGGAGCAGTCAGAGTAGAAGTTGCGCTGTAGCGGGTGATTTCCAGCTGAGTCAGAGAACTTCGTCCCAGTCCCGGTCAGCTCCAGCGGCAGAATAGGCTCAGGTCTGGCCCCAATTCTCCCCAGGGAGCGCGCGCCCCCTAGCGGTCAGAGAGCAGCTCAGCGCGGCGTGGGGCTAACAATGCGGAGTCGCGAGCACCTGCACCGTGCAGGACGTGCCAGGAGCTTTCAAGTTACCCTGACAAAAATCCCGGGCGTCATGGCTTCCCTAAGCTTTCTCAGGCTGCGCTACTTACTCACGTTACATCCTTGCTCGAGGATGGTCAGGACGTCGGAAGCCCCTTGGCTTCATCTTGCCTGGAAGGGCCCTCCGTTTTTGCCTTTTTCAGCGGCCTGGGAGATCGACAGGTAGATCACAGCCCCGAAACGGTCCTAGCATTTCAAAGCACATTCGAGCGCTCCGCCCAAGGCCCGGATGCGCGCGGCGCGCGGCGGGCGTCAGTGCTAGGCTGCAGAGTCCCGGGAAGGGGAAGAACTTGTAATCGCTTGCAGCAGGACAATGCCGACTTTTGAACCTCTAACCACTAAGCAAACAACCCTTGCGCTCTAGCTCCACTGTCCAAACAGGGTTTATTGACAGGCGTTTCACAGCAACGCATAGCAACCGAGGCGGCGGAGACTAAGGGGGCCAGCGAGTGGGCGCGGCCAGGACTCCGGGTCTGAGCTCCTCTCCAGGCGTGGGGACACCCACCTCTTCCCCCCCCCCCGCGCGCCATGTCCCCCTTTCAAGAGTCGGACAGGCACTCTCCCTCCAACTCCGAGGCCTGACGCGGCGTACCCAACCGGCAGAACCCCATTCTCAGTCCCGGAGCGGAATGCGCCACCTGGAAAAGCCTCGGAATTGGATAGATGCTGCAGAAATTATATTTATGAGCATCCTTTCCCCACCCACCCCTCAAGCTGAGACTCTGTTTAGGGCTCGAAGGTGTCTGCGGGAATACTGAAAAGGAGGCCAAAAGCCGACCCACCAGGTTCTGCTGAAGCGCCCAGACGTTCAATGGCCTCCAGGACTAAAAATGTCAAGGACAGCAGCCGCTCCCCCAGATAACAAATGACCGTCACTAACAGATCTTCTTAAACTGGTTCTTCTTGGGGGTGAGGGGAGAGCAGAAGAGAGGAGTTGGGATGCGGAAACCTTTCGAACAGGGCAAGAGATGGAGGCAGACAGGGCTTAAAGGAAATGTTCAATGTTTCACAGAAGACTATAGTCATAGAAATATTGCCTTTGGGAAAAAAACAGAATAAGTATTTTTATGGAAAGCCACGTTTAACCAGCTAGATTGTGGGGCACCTCTAGGGAGGAGAATCATTGATGAAAGGAATGTGTGTAATTGCCTCGGTGTGGCTTTGATGAGATGCTATGAGGTGGCTCTCTCACTCACTTCACCCTAGCAGCTGGGAAGCAGCTGACCATTCAGATGTGCATTTTGCCTAAAGGCACCCCCAGGGGAACCACACATTCCATAATGGAAGATTGGGCTCAGGCTTGGGGGCAGGGAAGGTCTCACAACCTGCTACCTCAGGCTTCAGCCCCTCTAGGGTAAAATGAGGTTGTCCAGATAACCTTCACCACCTCCTCCCCTGAATTTTCTAATTCTAGCTTGCAAGCAGATTTCATTTCTTAAAAAACAATAGTTCCAGACAAAGCCTTAAGAATATAAATACAGAATCTAAAATCTGGAAAGCTCATTTATCGCTTTTTTCTTTTTAGAAAAACTTGGTGTTCAAACGATACCCACCCTCCCCCCTTCCCTTCACCATATCATTTCTCTCCCAATGTTCCAGAAGCTTTTAAAATGCTGGCATGGATGTTACACAGACTAACAACCCAAACAGCGGCAAAAACAACAACAAAAACTCCCCTTCTTCATCAGCCCTAAGATTGTGAAAATGACAGGAAGTCCAGGTTGGCTCTGGCATTTATAGCACTGACATACATTCAGCCCAGAGAAAGCTCTGGTGACAGGCTCTCTAAACAAGATGCTGTCCCGGGCCCCCTTCTCAGGCCTGGAGCCTAATAACCACCCCCTCACACCATACACAGCACATACACCAGCCAAGCCCTTCCTGGTCTGGGGATGGATGAGAACAAAGACAAAGACCTGGGGGCCCTGCAGTCTTTGGTGAGTCCAGGCTTCTATCTTAGCTGTCTCTGGCTTCTGTGTTTAAATCTTGCCTGACCCTTAGGCAGAGGAAGCCCTCACTGGTCCTTGGATAGCAGTGAGTAGACAGCAACCATCTTGGCCCCAGAGTCCACTCCCCACTTGGCTCCAACCAGATTTGGGAGGTGAAGACCTGGGAAGGAAGGGGCTGAAAGATGGGTCTGTTTAGCCAGTCCACGCAATGTTCTGCCAGGACCAAGCACAGCTCTGTTGGTTGTCTGGACTCCTCACCGGCATAGAGTCAGATGAAAATGTCAAAACCTGGGAGAATGTCTTCTCCAGGCCTCCAACCCCACTTGTCTTTACTCCTGGCCCCCATTCGCCTCAGAGAGCTAGATGAGTTCAGTGTGCACTTGGGTGGGAGAAGTGGAGTCTCTCCTGAGGATTCTAGCAGAGTCCATGCTCTTCATAGCTCAGCCTGGAGTTGCTCTGCTGCTGTAGACACTATAGGTCACTGGGTGACAGTGGGGTTTAACACCCCCCCAGCTGGTCCCAGAACCCCAGGGACGGAGCCAGGCACTGAGCCTTGCAGGGAAGACACGGGACTCAGGGGCTCTGGTAAGCTTCTCAGAGGGCCTGGCTGTGGCTGCGGAGGCTGAGGTGGGGGCGGTGGGGGCTGTTGCTGCTGCTGTTGCTGCTGCTGCTGCTGCTGCAATTTCTTCTTGTTGATTTTCCTTTCCTTCGCTCTGCGGTTCTGAAACCAAATTTTAACCTAGAAATGCCAAGGGGGGGGGGGCGGGAAACAGAAGGTGGTGAAGAAGGAGGCAATGGGGAGAAGAGTAACAATATTTGGCCACCAAGATCCCTCTCCAATTTAAAGGACCCCAAATCCTCCCACAGCCCAGTGCGGAAGCTAAATCTAATTTAGCCTGCTCAGAAGAGTGTTTCTCCCTCCTGTATCTTTCCAAAGCAACCTTTATTTACAACTTTACTGGAAGAGATCACAGTCTCCGAACTAGGAAAGTGAAATTGCAAGGCCCTCTCTATACCAAGCAAGAAGAGACCAGTGCTGGATGTACTTGAAGACAACCTTTGGTCCCTCTGAGCTCAACTGAAATGGACTAGCCTTCACCTGGTTGCTGAGAATGAGATTTAATTTGGGGCTTCCTGGTTGTAAATTTAGCCGTTTCTCCCCCTCCCCCAAACTATACAGAGTACTCATGAGCCAAGCCTCACCCTGCGAGTTTTTAATGAGCAGGGAATGGGGTCTTTTTATTAATTTCTCCTTTCTGTGCTAGGCACACAAAACGTAGGTCTCTAACTAAGTCTTTGTTGACCCAAACTGAATTCTGGATTCAACTAATCGAGTTTTCTGTGACCCTTCCCATTCCCCAGAATAGGAAAAAAAAATACTTAACAACATAAAAAACGGAGGCAGCAGAAGTCTTTCTAAAAAGTATTCAGAAGACAATTGCACTCCATATTGCCACTTAATCAAGTGTATTCTAAGGTCTGACTTCTAACTCTCCCCACAGGAGACCCCCGACCCCCAGGACCGCTCCAACCCCCTGCAGTGACTGGGCTGGAGGCTCTCACCTGCCTCTCCGAGAGCCCCAGCGTGGCGGCCAGTTCAGCTTTCCTCCGGATGGTGATATAGCGACTATAGTGAAACTCCTTCTCCAGTTCTAGCCGCTGGTGGTCCGTGTACACCACTCGGTATTTGTCTTTTGTCCTGGTTTTCACTGCGGAGGAAGGAAAAGTTAGGGCTGAGAACAGCAAGGCAGCCCATCAGTCATGGGTAATGACAAACCTCCTTAAACCAAGGGTCATTTCTCTTCCTCCACCGCTCTGGGGGGCCAGGGTTTGGCTGGTTCCTGCTGAGTTTGACAAGACCCCCCAGAGGGTGGGGGTTGAGGCTATCCCCGGCAACTAAGCTAACCTTGGGGTTAAGTGGTTTTTAAAAATGAAGAAAAACTGAAACTGCATACAGACAGAAGATAGCAGAATATAACCAACCTTTTGGCAAAACTGAAATACCGGAGCCGGTCAGGCCAAAAGGAAGGTGGCAGAGTGCAGGGCTATCACCCAGGAAATTCAGGTTTTTCAGGCCAAAGAGAGCTGGAAACTCATGGTAACAACAGCTGGGATTGTGAGGCTGCGATATTGGGGGGTTACTTTGTTAGCTTTGTTAGAAAGGGGTGGGGTACAGGAACTGATAGTTTCCCTCACTTCACCAGAATCACTTTTCAGGCATTTTAGGCCCATCTGGTGGAATTTTGAGCCATGTCTGGTAGACAGAAAACCCCTCCCCCTGCCGACATTTTATACCTGGGGAGCCTGGTTTGGCATTTGCTTGGCACTTTTCTTTTTGACCCTCCCCTATATATTTCTGCTGCAAACCGGGGCCAGACTCATCCTACCCAGTGATCTGTGCTCATTGGATTGAGTCAACATATTAAACCTGGAATTGATTGTTTTCCTGAAGGGCCTTGACAAATAGTGCCTAGGCGGCCTAGCAGGCCATACCTAACATCTCCCCAGGCCTGTCCCGAGTCTGCCTTTGGCAGAGCAGGGGCCAGGAGCTGTTCTCGCCCGCCTGACCCCAAGTTGGGGTCTTCTTGATGCAGAACAGGTTCACTCGCCCAGTGCCCAGTTCTACAGGAAGATCTAAAGGGTCTGGGAGTTGCTTGGAGGTGTTTAATGCCCCGCAGGCCGACTTTGTTCAGGTAAAACCCTTTGCAAACCACAACAAAAGCGCCCTGGGAAGATACAGGCCGGATCACAGGGAGCTCCTCCGAGCCGCTGAAAGGGCAACACAGTCTCAAACAATGCAGGACAAGGCGATCTTATCAAAGAAAAGCCCTTTCAATGCCTTAATAACAACCGCATTCTGTTTGAATTACCACTACTGAGCAAATGGCGGTCCCGGCTTTCATCCCCCTCCCCGCCAGGCGCATTAACATAAACACCGCCCGGCAGGCGCATTTGAATGGGTGCTGCGGCCCCGACCCCTCGCCCGCTAAGAAAGTAAAGGGAACTAAACACATCCCGAGAGCCTTCTAAGTGGTGGGCGCGTTCACAGGCGCTACCGCCTTAAACCACACGCGGCTGGCTGCCAGCGGTCCTCGCCCCTCACAGACGAAGAAACACAGTCTGACACGATTCTGTCACGAACATAGCGTGGGGCTGGCACAAAGAACACCATCTGGACTGGGAAGCGGAGCACAGGGGAGTTCTTCGAGCTGAACCCCGGGAGCGATACTTGCCTCGGGGTGCGGTAGCCCCTGCCCCAAAGGCCTTGGAGGCGCCCCGCACCCCCTGGGAATCTCAGAGGGGGCTGGAGGAGGGGAAAGATGAGAGGGACTTGTCAGAATTCATTATTGACTGCGAAAGTCACCACCCTCTTTCCGGGCCCTAAAAGAGACAATGGCAGGGCTGGGAAGGTGTATATCAAAGCGGGCCGGGCCCAGTACAACCCCCCGCCCCCCTAGCCTCTTGACAGATGACGCTCCGCAGAGGAGTCAGGCTCCCGCCCGCAGGCCGCGGCCTCCCTACATTAACATCACAAGGGCGCCGGGCGCCGACTGCGGCCTTACCACCTCGGCGCGGGACTTCACAGCGGTCTCTCATCTGCTGACCCCGCGGCCTGGGTCTCTGCGGTTGCCCCCCCCCTTCCCCCTACCCTGGCCTCTGCCTCACGGCCACTCTCCTGGGACACCCGCGAGGTCTTCTTTAGACCGCCTCTAGAGTCTTCTTTGGGAGTTCGCTCTGTTGGAACTAGGGCACTTCCTCTTGAAGAACAGACCAAGTAGAGGCCCACGAAAGCCTGGCCCTGTGTCCTTCTCCCTGGGCAGCCTCATTTTCCACCAGGACTATCCCCAGCATGTGCACAATGACACCCAAACGATGCCCAGGAACAGCCCCCAACAGCTGTTCTGATTTATACAGCTGTAACTGGCTATAAAATACTGCGAAGTGGCCATAACCTGCATGGGGCAGAGCTGGGCCAGAAAGGAGTAAGAGAAAAAAGCGGAAGTGCAGAAGGCTGGGAAAAGACTTCATGAAGTAAAAAGGGGACATCAAACAGGATTCTCCCACCACACCTATTCTCACTTCCTTCCCATCATGACTAGTGTTGCAACACCAGAAGGCACAGACCCACAGACCTGGAATCAATGAACTCCACAGTCTGGCCAGGACAGGATTCTTTGCAGGGTCATCTCCTGAGCAAGCTTCCTGAACTATGCACACATATGGGCAACCACAGGTCCTCCACTTAAAGGTTGAGAAGATTTGTGTGTGTGTGTGTGCATGCACAACAGTGTGTGTGTGTGCAGCGGTTGAATACTCTACTCAGGTTTAGTCCCCTTCTCTCCGTTCTCTGCAGACAGGAAAAGACTCCCAGGCCCTCTTGCCCATGGCTCCAACCAGTGAGCCACATCAAAGGTTCAAAGACCAGGGTGTGCCCTCTTCCCCTCAGCGCCTGGGGCCAGCACCTTCTTTCGGGGACAGCAGCTTTGCCCACTCTATTTCCTACTCATTGCAGCTCCCATGCCTGGAATTGGCCAAGCTGCCCAACCTGAACCCCATGAGCCCAGCTGCCCTCCTCATCACCGGGATCACTTTTCTCGGATAGTGCAGATGAGCAAAAAAGGCCAAGAGAGAAATGGTCTAGAGTGCGACCAGGTGGAGGTCGAGGTTCCCTCTTTCCAGAGGTTCAGAGCTGTATACTTAGTGTAGCAACAGCAGTAAATTGCGGGGACGCAATTCCACTGTCGTGCAGCTATGGTGCGCCGACGTTCCGGGAGTGTCCGATTATGAACCAGGAACCTTTGAAAAAAGGAGACTCTCCCGATCCCCCCCTCAAATGAACGCTGGTTGCGAGAACATACCCCGCTCCCCACTCGCTCAGGCGCAGTAGCCAGAGCCAGAGACCCCTGCATTTGTCTTTCCACTCTTCCCCTCGTGGCACGGAGCTCCCAGGGAACCCCGGACGCTCCAGGCCACAATGAACCCAGGGCAGGTCCAGCTGCGGGCGGCGGGGTGCGTGCCTTCCCGAGAAACCTCCCGCGGGGCGCGGCTGCTGTTTACCTTGGCTTCCGAGGGACTGCTGCGCGGGTTTCCTCATCCATTCGCACAGGTTCCGCCGCTGGCCGCCGGGGGACAGTTGCTCAGCGGCCGCGGTGGCAGCGGGCCCGGGAGGGCCGGGGTTGAGCGTCTGCAGCAAGCCCGAGGCACAGGAAGGCGCGGCGGCTGGGTGGTGCGGGTGGTGGTGCGGGTGGTGGTGCGGGTGGTAATCGGCTGGGCTGCTGTAGCCCATGGCTGTGGCGGGGGAACCCCCGTTGAGCCCGTGAGCCACGGCATTGGCGGCCGCAGCTGCGCCCCCCGGAGCGTAACCGTTCCAGTCCTCCCGGAGCGGGGCGCCGTATGCAGCCGGCCAGGATGGCCCCGGGGACTGCGCGCTGTCCAAGTTCGCGGCCGCGGCTGCCGCAGCAGCCACATGATAGCCGCCATAGTCCGGGTACTGTGGGGGGCTGACGAAGTTCTGCGGCGCCAGGTTGAGCCCGCCGGAGTGGCGCACGGAGCTTGGGTACATGCTCACGTCCTTGTCCAGTAGGTAGCTCACGTACATGGTGGCGTGGGTCCGACAGCAAACCTCACCATGCTGCCTGGGAACGGACGCTGGGAACTGCCGGGTGGGCGCGAAGGGGTAGGGCAAGGGGGCGCGAAGAGCGGCGGGTGGCTGAGCCCCAGCCGGCGGTGCTCCGCCGGCTCCTCGCGGCGCGTCTGCCTCTAAGGCGGTCCCTCCTTCTGGCCTGCCTCCTCCCTTCCTCCCTCCCTCTCTTCCTTCTTTCCTCCCACCTCCTTCCCACTGGGCTGCAGAGGCGGGGAAGACCCGCCACGGGCTGGCGTGCGGATCCCAAGCCGGCGGCCTTACGTGATTAACGAGTGTTTACAGGACTCTATTAGTAATGACACAGACACCAATGGCTGGAGACGTCGAGGCGCAGCGCACACCGAGCGCACAACCCCCCGAAATACGATTTGCATTTTAAAAGATAAGGGGTGGGGGAACTCGCGAGAGGGCAGCGACCGGTTCACAGCTAAATATTCAAACCTTTATTGTTAAGGGCTTCCTCCTTCCAACCTGGTGCACTTTAACCTCCAATCACAGGTTCAAAGAATGAAATCAAGAGACTTGCAAAAGAGGGGGAGAGAAAGAACTATCTCGATGGGAATCTGGGCTTGAAGAGTAAGGAGTGTATTCTTGCATTTGCAGGGGTTGGGGGTGGCGGCGAAGAAGTCCCTACCCCAAAGAGAAAAGAAAAGAGAATCCATTGCTTTGATGACAGACAACGTTTCTGACCAACACCGGAGGTGACAAGCCAAGCGGTTTCCTTGTCTCTCTGCGCCCCTGATTGGAACCACTGCTCACCCCCAAACAACACTCAAACTCTCACCACTAACCCTTTTTTTTTTTTTTTTTGGCCCAAGGAGACTACTCACCCTCTGTACGACATAAATACGACCTTAGGTACAGGCTGCATCTCCGAACTCATCCCACACTTGGGGGTTAAGTTAAACTAAAGCAATTCATTTCTTTAAGCATTTACATTCAAGACTCAAAAATCTAAAGTATAAACCAAGAGTGGCTAGTGAAGTAACTGAAGTATTAGGGGAGGATTCTTAGAGTGCTGGTAATGTTCTGGGGGGGGGGTGATTTGGTTTGGGTTTTTGTTTTGTTTTGTTTGTGTTTTTAGCAGGATGCTGTTTAAACGCTGTGCTGTTTGTGAAAATTCAGCACAATACACATCTGTTTACTGTACTTAAATAACTGACTAAAAATCAAGGAAAAGGGTGACTAGGATTTCTGCTAACATGTACCTAGCTATTTATATGCCATCGACCTGGTCTAGGTCTTCAAACAAACAAACAAGCAAACTTTCTCCTTTACAAAGTAAAATATTCTTATTAGAAAACTGTTTCTCATCTCCAGATAATGAAAAGGAAATACCGAGCCATCACTAATGATTTCTCCTGAAAACTCTAAATGCCTAAAGGGTTGAGAAAGGATTCCCCTTGGTTTTGGAAACACTGTGTCTAAGGGCCGCCACCGACCTGAATCAGCAACTGCCCAGATGGGCTCGCACCGCTCAGGACTCGCCTACCTCCCGCGGCCACCTCGGTTCAGAGCCTGCGCGAGGCGGGTGGGGGTCTGCCTTCCCTCTGAGCCCACGCGGCGGCGTTGCTAGAAGAGGAGCTGAGAATCACAGTGGATGGCTGGCAAGGCTGGGTAGGCTCACAGGTAGCTTTGAGTGATGGATCAAACAGCAGGGCGCTCGCGGCTCTTTTCCAGATTTGCACTTGTCTGTTCTAATTGTTAAGGGCGCTCGGATAATTTGTCATTTCATCTTGTCATCTCTAGCGCTATTGCCAGTATCCTTTATCCCCCTTGATCTTCACATTTCTCTGGAACAAAGCTGGTGTTACCATCCTCTCCATTTTACAGATAACATCAGGAAGAGGTCAACCCAGGCTGTATCAGAAGGAACGGAGGACAGAACACTGCCGAAGTTTCTTGTTTGCTGGTCTTCTAAGATAGAAGACTGAAACTGGAGAAAATTGACTGAGCACTCAGGAAGTGGGAGATCTGAGCAGGTCCTTCAGGTGGGCCAGGCCAGGCCCATACTGCTGAGTATCCTCAGTCCTCTAAAAAGAATTGTGTGTATGAAGTTAATTGCAAACCCAATTACAGAAACAAAACCAGTGAGTGGTGGGGGGAGAAAAAGGGAAGTTTGCAGTCTGGATGGGCTAGAGATATGAGTAGTAAAGTTATAGGCACTGTGGACTTTTGATCTAGCAAACGTCTTTCTCCTATTCCTGAAGACACACACTCGCTCAGTCCCCCACAACCCCCTCCCAAGCCCCAAGCTCTGGAAGCTGAGGCCCAGGCTGAAGCCGGTGTCTTCGGAATGTGGGCATTCTTTGGAACAATCACTTTATTGGGTACAGCCATCCACTCCGCCCTGCGGTGGTCACTTCCTGAGTTTTTATGGCCAGACAGCCGGCCACTGGCTAATTATCCTGGTTTTCCAGCTGTGTCTTCATGCTCTGCCCGGGAAAAAAGACTGTGGCCCGCCTGCCCAAATGCTTTGGGGGGCCACCAGGGCTGCTGTGGCCCCAGAGGTCATGCCATACCCGGAACTGGTTGGGCCACAGAGAAACCTGAAGCGACTTGTAGTGTGAGGGCTGATTGTGAAAACCAATCATTTCCTTCTCGGAAAATGCAATATGGCCCTGCCATGATTGTGGGGTGCGGTGAAAGGAATGGATAATGACATCCTTGGAAAAGCTCTCTGGGTGGAAGCGCCCCTCTCATAGCCTGGTTGCTCTCTTAGTGGAAAAAGAGCCCACCTGGGTCCCCAAAGGAAAAGGGTGGTGAGAGCAGTGGAGGTGAGGTGGGATGGGGGTGGGGGTGGAGGGTGGCAGATGAGAGGGAATCTGGGAGCATATTTACCCTAATGGCTTAGCCTCTGTCTGGTCTTTATCAGGTGCCCATCTCCTGGAGGCCAACTTTGGCCAAGGATGGCTCCTCTAGCCTCTGAAGAAAGATGAATGGATCATGGGAGCTTATACACCACCTGTATCCAGACCTCAGAGATTTCTCAGTCCAGTCATAAGGTGGCTGGCAACTTCTTAGAATCTTTTTTCCTGGACTGAGGACCGCCTAATATAATCATCTGCATCCTCTGCTGGCTTCTGGAACTCCCTGCCCACCTGCACCTCTGGGGTCCAGCCAATAGCCAGCCCTATGCAAGAAACCTACTGAAAATTGTTCTGGAAGAAGCAAGTTTAAACTTTCCTAAGAGGAATTTAGGTCTGAAGTTGGGCCAGAGCTGGAGCTGTGACCCCCGTGTAATCAGAGCTAGAGCTGACTTTTATAAGGATAGGAGACAGGAAGACAAAGACCCAGGTGAATAAAGCATCAGGAATACCACAAGGGCAGCTGCAATTCAATCATCAAAGAGACACCGTTTTTGTTACTGATGGTGTGGAAGCCAGTCCACATCCTCAGAGAGAGTTGGGTCTTCTGGGATCCCCATGGAAGGCAAAAAGTAGGGGTGCAGAGGGAAATGGGGAACAGGAGTCACCAGAAGGGGAGGGCAGTTCCACTGGGCAGATGAGCCACTCCTTGAATCCACAGATCATTGACAGGGCTCCCTCCCTGCTCAAAGGTCTCTGATATTTGCTAGGATGTGGGGACCCTGTTTCCCCCATATTTGTGGCTTCTGGAAACTGGGGAGCCTGTGACCCTTGTCATCCAGGTAGGGCAGGCTGTCCTGATCCATGCTAGCATGCAAGCCTACTTTCTGAATCTCATTTAGATCAAGGAAATCATCCAAAGACTTGAATTTCCAGGAAAATTAAGGAAGAGTGAGGGGGAAGATTTCTGATAAAATTATTCTACTCAACAATCTGCATTGTATGGGGAAATGATTCAATCTCTACTTAACTTGGAGTTTAGGGAATTTTCAGTCATTGCACTCTATCAGCAACCTTCTTGCACATAGTAAGGTTCAATAATGGGCTCTTTGATCCCCCAACCTGGACTTATTCTGCCACAACCAACTCAGCTAACATTGCTGGGAAGGAATTGAGCACAGGGTCCTTCCTGTGGGGCCTCCCCAGTGCTCATTACCAGCCCAGCCCATTGGGTCACAATGGAGCCCAAGGTGTTTGCCCTGGACACCAAGGCAAGGTGGCAGCTGCCCACAGTTCAGGGTTCAATTACTTCATCCTCTGGTACTACTGTATGTTCACCTACCTGAAAAGCAGTCAAGAATGTATCCCTCTCCCCAACTGAGTACCTAGTCCTCTGTACTTGAGGAAAATTTCCTGAATTCACGGGAAGTCATTTAGCGGATTAGAATTTAGCCACTCTGTGGCCAGGGTGCTGAAGAATGAGGAAACAGCAGCCTCTCCTCTATTGGAGGGGCCACCAAGTTTTCTGAGGCTAGGCTAGGAATATATTTTTCTCTGCTCTTCTACCCAAATCCTACCCTCAAAAGCATCAGATTGAAGAAAATAAAGAGTCTCAGGAGAAAGGGTAATATTGGGGTTCAGAAATCCGGCTTTGCACAGTGAGTGAAAGTAAACCAGGATACCTGGTGGGCAGAGGTTTTCTTCTGAAATTAGAGTCTGTGGACAATGTGTGCTGAATGAAGTAAATTTCCCAGAGGGAGGGACTTTGGGTCTCACCTAGAAAGAGGATGGGAAGGGGGAGACCCAGGCTCTCAGATCCATAGAAACCAAAGGTTACCACGTGGCTTTGACATGAAGGATCTTCAATTACCATTTGTTCACTCACTAACCTCTCGTGCCTAGAGTGACCTTTGTTTATCATATGAAAATATGTTCCTAGGAACTCCTACACAGTAGGCTTTATGTGGCTGAGGGCAGGCGCTTAGATCAATGCTCAGCATTCATTGAATCCATTGGACCATTTAGAAGCTACAATCCCTAGCTGGGAACCAACTCAGGGTTCTGTGTAACTCTTCCATTTTACAAAGGAGAAATCTGAAGCCCAGCGAGATTCAGTGACTTTTCCCAGTTCACACAGCTAGCTCTTCCAGTCACTAAAATTAAATGAGCTACTATATGTATAGTCTTTGCAACCCATAGTGCTCTGCACAGATGTTAATCATTACTAAGCCTGCTAGTGCCACCCTGGAAACATTGCCTTCCAGACACCAAGCCAACTAGTACAATTCCGGGAATCCACTCTCCCCACCCCCATACCAGAACAATCAGGTTCTGCTGGTGGGCCAGTTCTGACAACTTTCCACCTCTTAATTTCTCCCTTTCACAAGCACCTGCTAGATGCAGTGTTCGTTTACTGAATGAACTGTCCATAAATTCCATCCCAGATTTTTCTCCAGAGAAAGTATCCATCTACTTTTTGTCCCACAGTGTATACCTTCTGACACTAAAGCGCT